TGTGGTTAACATTTTTACGTGGAGTGTGCAAAGCATTTTTGAATCCATGTTAAGGAGCCAATATACAATTTCAGTGATGTAGTATTATAGTCAAAAGCGTGCAAACGTACCTTTGAACGTATTATTGGCTAACCAATTTATAATATTCTTAAATGTAACAAAGCAGTGGCAAAATTTCCATCAGAAACAGCATCAATAACAATAGGAGTTGTAATTGATCTAAACAAAATATAACTCAAAGCAATCGTACTGCGCGCTGTAAACTCAACGCTTGGCATTAACATAACAATACTTTTATACTTATTCTACATTCTGAAATATTCAAGGTACATATACAAATGCGCATATAGCTTCTTAATCCCACGAAAATCATAAACAGATTATCAGGACTACTATTTCTTCTAACTGCCTTTGCAAACATAACTGGAGTCCTGAGTAGGAACAGGAAGTTTACTTAAAACTATGTTCGTGCAAGTGTAGAAGATACGTCACAAATGGGAGAAACTGACAGCCGTTTTCGCACTTCGGGATACAAAGACCAGTGCTTATAGTCTGAAACGTGGAATTAAGAACTAAATCTGACTTAATAAGAACTAAACTCAGATACTTTACAAAGAATAGTAACGCGAAGATTGGCCTTTTAAACTTTACGTATGTAGTGAGCAGAATGCGGGAAACTACAATACACCTTCAAGAATGAAAGAGGCCTCAAAGGCAGACAAGAACTGACTGAAAAGCGTGAGCGATGTAAGGTAGCGAGAAGTCTCTCTCTTTCTTGGCTAAAAGCCACAAATTAAATACTTAACGGTTTCCAAGCTCAATTTGCATAAACAAATGTGTCCGAGTAATTCTGGCCGAAAATGGAAAATAAGATAGGGTAGCAAAATAAAATAAACGTTAGTAAAACTTAAAGTCCTTACAAGCTTAATTGTGCAACTCTTAGCCAGTAATGGCTGTCAGAAAAAACTAGATCTTACGGTGAGTCATCAAGAGCAAAACGGATGGATCGTTATCATCCACATGAATCGATAAAACTAATGCTTATAGTTCCAGCAGAGAATGTGGAGAAACACTACTTCTAAATTTTGATACATAGTATAGTTAATAAATATGCAGTTTCTTTAACTTTTGAATTTATGATTGAATTAAAGTAATTGTACAGCAGTCTAAGATGTATACTGTTAGTATTTGCGTACTTAAATCCTGATGAATAAAAGCGTTTCTTAAAAATTGAAATGCATTAAAATGATACGAAGTAGCTTGTTTGCGGAATTTGCAAGTTTTGTCGATTTTGCTTCGAAATGTATGTCAAACCGGAGACGCACAGTTAATCGTACTAAGGGAAATCAGTAAATCAATCGTCTATTTTCTAGAGAAAGAACTTATTTTAAGAACTGGGTATAGTACCAAAACGATGTTTGAAATTTTAATGAGATGTAGTTGACCTACTCGGAGAAATTAAAATTTTTGTCCAGATAAGTAGCAAGGTCATCGTCACATGAATCGAAAAAGGCCAATGCCAATATGTCAGAGGCGAGGTTAGGATTTTTTTGTGTCACTGAAATATATCTTCGTATTCATTGAAGAATAACGCTTATGAGCACGAAATAGATTATGAGGCCAAATTTTGCGCATTTTTGTACCCTCCGGCAATGGTACCACTGGAATACTTGATTGATAGCATTTTGCATTAAGTTGAAGGCGATATCCGGTTTTCTTGATACGCGAAGTTGTATCGTCAGCATAAATCTATGAAAGTTATATTATAATTTTGGGCGATCATTCTTAAATATGTTAAAGTAGCACGAAGTACTGAGCCTTGAGAAACGTTTGCTGCGATATTGTTAGAACAAGTTGGGCAATTTTTACAGTAAATTTTCTATTGTTAAGAGAGATATCAAATAAGATGGATTATGCGAGTTGTGTATTTTTACCAGATTAGTTCAGCAATAATTTCTGGATGACCCACTTAATCAAATACATCCTGGATATCGAAGAAGCAAGTAGGAACGCATTATTTATTATTAAATCGCGCACTTATATGTTCAAAATTTTATAGAACTGCGTGAGTGGAAGAAAGATTTCACCTGAAACCAAACTGAGTCAAGAGTATAATGGAAGGTTTTTTCTAAAATAGTGATAAGATGTTTATGAAAAAGCTTTTCATAGTGCTTGCATATTGAAGGTAAGAAGCTGATGGCACGATAATTACTTGGGGATTTAGAGCCTTTTCCAAGATTCTTGAAAATATTGTTAGAAGCAGTTTTCCATTTATAGGAGAAGTACTTGAGGTTTAAGTAGCATTTAATGCATTGGAAAGTACTCAACTAGCTCACTGATTCAAACGCTTGATTAGATGTGTTATCATATTTAGGTTCTTTACTTCTTTTGAAATTTTTAAACATAGTAATTTCTTTTGGAGTAGTAACAAAGAGGAAATCATGAAAGGGAACTTTGAGGAAATTCCTATTATAATTAATCCCAATGAATTGTTATGACTTTCTTTTTCGCATTTACTTGGACAAAATTATTTCTAAAAATCATCAGGAAAGATTTTATCCAAGCATGTGAGCACAGTCACAGTTGAATCATTATACTCGATGGCCCCGTTGATTGATGAAGTATTTCTAATCTCACGAGCTAGCTTCTAAACGGAGTTGTCGCTGTAATTTATCCTGTTTGAAATAATACTCTAATACTCTTAACGATCCTTTTCACATTCAAAACAAAGTTCTTGATTTCTCTAATTGCAGGATTCAATTCAGAATTAGTGGCAGTATTTCTGGTATTGTTTGTAAACTTTGCGAAGATGATGTTTCCTTTGCTTTTACTGAATATATGATCCGGAGCCTTGAACTTTGTTTTCCATAGGTTTTCTGTTATGATAAGCGGCAGTAGACATGTATTTATTTTGTTAAACATATTCAAGATTTGAACACATTTTGAAGCTAGTATCTGACCAGTGCGCATAATATTTCCAGACTAAATGTATAGGAATATGATGAAAACCTGTATTAATGTTATAATGTGAGAAGACATGAGAAGGTTGGCTGTTAGATAAAGCGTTAAGAACTGTGTGTTAAGGAAAATATTTGAAATTATTAGTGATGAGAATGTGCAAGACATACATACGAACATGGGTACTGAGATGAGTTGTTGCACTGATTTAGTGATACTGAATGAGTTATTATTTTCTTAGTTATGCAATAAAATGCCATTTCTATTTGTCGTACAAGAGTTCCATAGAGGCTGCTTCGAACTGAGGTTTTCAGTTACCTGAGCGTGGTTTCACGATTAAAGGTACAGTATCAATATCTTATAGACTTAAAACGTTTGTGGGTGGATTACTGAGAAATGTGCCATTGGTATTAGATATTTCGATTACAGTTGCTCCTCTTAAATTGAGATTTAGAATACGAGAACCATATATAATATCAGTACAATATCTGTAACACGACATTTTTATGCATGCAGTCATTTTTTAAAATTTCATATATTTGGATTTTAAAGATGTCACAAAGCTTCATATGAATTTCATATAAAAGCACTATTCCAGGTTTTTGATATCTGAAAACTTTCCAATTCTAGCTCTTGACATCGAATTTCATTTGCAAAGAAGAAGGCTATATCGGTATAAGAGTTTTCTTCTTGGGTGATGTTATCTGTAAAATTATAAGCTTCTAAGCACATAATTTTTATTGAACAAAATGCTGCTCGCCGTAATAGCTACAGGTGCCACTATAATAAAAAGAAACTATTATTTCTAGTTCTTTGGAATTAATGAATTATTCCCAACTATAAATATGTTATTTCTCATTATGATACCTTTCAGAAAGGAGAAGTTGATTCGATATACATATTTAATATTTAATATTCGATATACATATTATGCCAAAGGGCTGAGTATTAACTAGTCTACACATGTTAATACATGATTCATTTTACATTACTGCTGACACGATTAAAGCTATTACTCTCAAAGGAGATCAGGTAAAATACGTAGAAATTTATGTATTTATAATCACATGTATCTCATACTATATATATAAATATAATATATGATTTTAAACAAAAAAATTAAAATAATACCTAAGATTGAAAAGCTCACTAGAAAACACTGTGTAATACAATTAATTAGCATTCTTTTTGTGTTTCATGCGGAGAAAACATTTTAATATACATTCAATATTATGGGCTTAATCTTGAAGGAATTTTTAATAATGGAAATTTCCATGGGTAAGAAATGTTAAAATTTTCTGTTGCATCACCACTATTTTTTAAAAATTTATTTAGCCGTCCAATTATCGGCATACAATATACGCAGCTTTACGCTGCATTTATCATTGCTATCTTCTTTATTTTCTCATCATGAAACAATATTCTAATATTGTATATTTTTCATCATTATTTATCTCATTAATTAAAAAATATTTTAGAGAATAACTAATATAAAGCCTGAAAATAATAGACATTTTCTCATCCGAGAAATTTTAATATGAGAAAGAGGCAGAACTCATTAAGAACATTTTAAAACTTATTCATTAAAAAAAGGGGCCAAATGTTTTTCCCGCTAGAAATTCAGAATTCTTTCTTTCTTCTATTGAATTCCGAATGCTTCCTTTTAATGTAATAAATTCAGAAAAATAAAGTTTATTTGAGTATGTTATCTTAGTACTCTGTCAAGTATTTTAAATGAATGAAAGGGAGTAAGAAAGAGTTATCTTTCGATTTTTTTTCACTTTCCGTATTCCATTCCTGCTTTCCAAGCGAATCGTGAAAGAATATTCTTGCAAGAGAAAACTATCTATCCATCCTGTCCCGAGACTTTCCTTCATTGTACGAGATCGATGACTTCTACACGGGCCTCTTGTTTGCGGGCACATGGAGAAAACATGAAAATCGCCGCTCGGGGGCGCTGCTTACTGCACTACAAGCGAGAGCAGCTCGTCTGCTTAACTACGGAATGCTTCGAAGAAACTCCGACAGTCCAGCTTCTGGCATCGGTCAAGAGATGACTTGGCGATATGTCTGGTGGTTTGGGCAAAGAGGCAGGTCGAGTTCCTTGTAACGGAATGCAGTAGCGGACGAATCCCAAACATGTTTGGAGAGCTTGGATTTAAAGTTCAGAACCAACCTGGTGATGTCAAGGTACCATGACATTTCCCTTTCATTTATGATAGAAAAGAATGTTAACAACTTTATTTGTAATAGCGGGATAAAAGCTGGAATGGATAGCTGTCAGAATCAAAAATAAGTTCATTCAACCAAACTGAATTTCAAATTTGTAACTTTGAAGCATAACTAGATTCGCAAAGCCGAAGCATTTCATAGGCCGAACCTCAGACTAAAATAAAAGTATCTACCTTAACAAAGAAACTTCTACTATAATCGAGAATCATAAAGAATTACAATTTATCTTTAATACCATTTTCATTGAAAGAGATTTCATTTCATTAATTTTTGTGCACAGTATGCCATATGTCTGTGAAGAATATTCCGCGAATTTACTTTTATAAACGTGACTTGACTTGAAAAATGAATCAAAATGGAAATCTGAAATTTGTACTAATGTTTAAAGAACATTAAGTTTTGGTTAAAAGCTGATTCGCATCTTAGTTACTTTTGAATAGATCTTCTAGTAAGATAAAATATTTGTTACAAAAGAAATATGAGCATTAAAATAATATAGTCATATCTAAGTTATAAAGTTGTTTATGAGAGATATTCATTTAACACTCGGCTTGTGTTTAAAAGTGAAAAAGGAATTTGAGTTTTTTCCTTTTAATAAGTAGCATTTAGTTTACTGGTTTAATATAAAAACGAGGAATACATTACATTAGGAAACACCGCTTTGTTTTATTCTCTAAACAAATGAAAATTTTGTAAACATTTCATTAAAATAAATTTCTGTAATTTATTTAAAGTAAATTACATCATTAAAAGATAGGTGATAGATAAAATAAAAACTATATAACTTTATTGAATATTAAATATTATTTATTGAATATAAATAAACACAAATAACTTGAGACTTCAGGGAAAAGAAAAGTTCTGGAAGGACATAAGCACTTTTGACGAGTAACGCGCTTCCGAAAGGAAATAAAAGATAACTTATCAAAATTTAATGATTAATTGCTTCAAGAAAGTACGCGAAGCTGTGATCTTGGTTTTCGTTTCGAAGTAGCCACAAAAACCGTCAGGAATTTCTTTAAAAGAAACTTATTAATAATTCCCTCGAAATCAATATTTCATCTTAATAATGGGCGTGTCGAGTTGCTGTAACAAATGGATTGCCCCCAGTGGTGCTACTTTTACAGTGCACGAAATATTAAGCCGCTTAGGTATTGTGAGGAACTTACCGAAGTACATTAATAAAAAATGGCTCTCGCCAGAAATGCTCACTGGAATTCTAATTGAAACTGTGAAAGAAAATGAATGAGAAGTTTCTTTGGCTAGATTTATAGCTAATAATATTTAAGATAAATTCCATTTCGAATATTTTAAAAATGTTCCTGTAAACGTCACAAAGTAGGGGCTAATAAAATATTATGCTTTATGACATTTCTCTATAGCCAGGAATAATTTTATTTCAGCAAATGGAATTTATTATTTACGGGTAAAACTTAAATATTAATCTAAATATTTTAATGAATAATAATATGTTTCTTAAATTTATTGAAGATTAACAATAATATATTGTTAATGATTACAGGATAATTAAAGTGCCAAATTGTTTAAGTATTCTACCTTAAAAACAATAATTATGTATATATTAAACGTTTAACTTCAGCAAAATGAAAACAATTTATAGAACATATACTAAAACTTAAACGAAGCTACAAAATGAAATAATAATAAAACGATCTTATTTCAGATGGAATTTTAACTTGCATCATTTTAAAAAGGATTTCAGTTAGTCAATTACTGTATGCAAAACCTTTTTATAGAAAATTTATAATAATACTTTTCGAGGTATTGCTAATTATTTTAATATTCCCAAATAAGCGAAGCCAGAGAAATCTTCCTTCTTCTAAAAATAATTTGTGAGGAACAAGCTGTCCACATGCAGATTAAGGCTGCACTCTCCAGATAGCTTTTTATCAAGTAAAGTTATCAATATTTTACAAAGTTCCTGTCCTTCAGTGGTTGATGTAGAAAATATTCCGCTCAAGATGAAAAATAGAAGCAATATTACATAAAAAAAAAAGATTGAAAAATTCTACTTTTACAAAACGTTTGAATGAGCAACACATTTTCCACCAAGTTAAAAATAATTAGTTTATGAAAATTAAGTGAATATACATATCTATTTAACTATGTTGGAACGTAGATGTAGAAGACGTCGTAGTCTGCGCAGCGTCTTGCTTTTTGCCGTAGGTTTCTGTAGTCTGTTTGCTTGCTTTTCTTGGTACACTCTCCTATGTTGCAGGCCAAATGTATATGGAGAATATATCATAAATAATAACTATCCTACGTTTCGCTCTAAAAATGTGGCCGATATAAAAGTAGCATATTCAGATTCTAATAACAATGAAAATCAAAATCTACTAGAAAGTACCATCTTAGCTTCTAGTTCTAATTCAACTGCCATTTTGCAAAAGTCAGTAAGCATACTAAAAAGCTCACTTAGTAGAGAACGGGTTACTTTAAACGCTGCCAGTAGCAGAAATGGAAGTTTAGCTCCAAGTAATTATGATATTTCTGAACATCCCAAAGCAGAAGCTTATCCATTAGCGAATTCCAATCGTATTGGCACTGGAAGTAATACCTATAAAGACATTATCCAGCTGACAGCTATAGAAGAGGCTGGAGCATCCTCAACTTCTTCACCGCAGTCACTCCCACCAACTGTAGAACTCGATCAGTACGCAGTGAGAGCATGGCTACCTAGGGGCATCAAGGAAAGAATTGAGTCCAGTAGTTATGAATCATCAAACGTAGATACTGAAATAAATATATCCAGTTTGGATGTGATCCCCGTCGTTTATACGACTACCACTCCTTCTGGGCATAATTACGGGGTATCACCGAGAAAGAAAAGTGTTATCAGCCCACCTGTGAAGAGGTTACCTCAAGCTTTAATTATCGGAGTGAAGAAATGTGGTACTAGAGCTCTTCTGGAGTTCTTGAGAGTTCATCCTGATATCAGAGCATCTGGTCCTGAGACTCATTTCTTCGATCGGCACTATCAGAGAGGCCTGGAGTGGTACAGGTGAGTTAAACCTTAGCAATTTAATTTCTCTGATATTACTGCTTGTTTGATTTTCGAAAATATTTAGAATTCTTCGTTTTCATACAAGAAGTATATTTAAAATGATCCTAATAATGTGTTGCAAAAATAATCTATTCTTAGCACTAGACTTTAATATTTTGTATTTAATATCATGCTGAAGTAAGACTTTAGTTCAAATACACGGAAATGTATGAAAATAAAAGAATATTTTCCAAATATGTATTCCGTATCATAATGTACATGCAAAATAAATCGTGTAGAGTTATTTAAACATACTTTTGGTAAAAATGATTTATAGACAATTTAGATTTTCAATCGTTTCAATTTATAAAAATTTATTATAATAGGAGATTTAAATCAATGTCTAAGTGTTTAGTGATGTTTTAGAAAATCTTACCAAGAAAGGGTTAAAGCATTCTGAATTTCCGAATTAATTATTTCTTCCTTTATTATTGATACTGGTCACTCATTAAAATTTAAATAAAAACTATGAAAGGGGGAATTTTTGAAAGAATTGTTAAGCATAAGTTTAATTTAAAATATCCACTAAAAGTAAATCTGTAGAATAACCTGTATCTTCTAAACTGGAATTCTTAGTACCATTTGCTTGATGCATTTATCACTATAATAAATGTTTATTTGCTGCAAGTTGAAGCATAATTAGTAGGAGATAAATCTAAAACTTTTACATCAGTAAAAATTATTTTCTTATATTAAAAAATAATCTGTTGGATTAAGGTAAAATTTTATTTGTTTCTTGTTGAAGCATAGGAGAGAAATCTAAAACATTTACATAAGTTATTTTCTTATATTAAAAAATAATCTATTGGATTAAAGTAAAATGGCATTGCATTTTTAAGATTGTTTGGATATGCGTCAAGGTCTGAGTATGACGTATGGTTTATTTTCCAGAATTTTATTGTGCTTTAATATGAATTTTACTATCTTACTAATAAGAAATAATAATATTTAAAGAGTTTTGACATTACGGAAAATACCACTAAAGAGAAGAAATTTTGCATGTAACATTATACACACAGACCTTTCTAAGACTTCATTATTCTAAACCACTTATCATTTTCTATACAGGAAATTATTTGCAGAGGTGATGTTTAATATCAGTGTTTATTAATGTTTCAGAAAATACTGGACATGTTTAAAGCCTGTTGTCTTAGGAACATTGCCACTACGACAGGGTTCATGATTACACTTTGTTCATTTCAAACGATTTGTTTTCGGGATATTTAACGCTGTTTATCGAAAACATGCTCCAATCTTGAATAAAGCATATTTGTAAACGCACAGATTTCAAGAAAAAAGAGTTCGCTCATAAATATATCACTCATGGTACGATTAAGATTCCACTTTTCACTTTAACAAGTTTTTCTTTCTTTTTTTTATAGATTTTCTGTTTACTTTCCAAATTTTCATTCATCTTACGCATTTTTGATGTTGACCTTTGTTTTTCGCTTATTATTTTCTAATAAAGACATGTATATTTTGTATATATGTAAGTGTGCTTATGTTATTCTATTCCCTATCTCTCTAGTCTTTGAGGTTTGAATCTTCTTACAACTTCTTTCGTTTACTAATTTTTGTTAACATGCGTAACAAACAAAATCGTAAATACAAGGTTGTTTTTACGATTTTGATTGTCACATTAGTGTGTTTTTCTTCTAGTCTAATGCCTAACAAAATTTTATTTATCCTAATAGGAAAGTAAAGTTGTTGAAAATAAATTGTAGTTTTTCATTAATCACTGATTTATTAGCATTTTGCCGTTTGAACAACCATTAAATTAATTTGTGAAACTTAAATTTTTTCATTATTTACTAATTTGATGTTAAAAAATAATCAATGATCTCTTTTGAGGTACCGAAGAATTCTTCAGTATCATTAACTTTGATTTTTTTCTGTGACCTTTTTTTTTTTTACAATTTTGCAATTTCTTCAAGAGAACTACTTCAGTTAGATTTAATAGAATGAAATACTAAGTTCTTGGGAAAAAATCACGGAGTATTTCGTACAGTTTAACATTTTTTTAAAATTAGAAGTGAGATTTAATTTCTTCTCTTCAGTTCAGGAAACTATTTTTACGAAATTTAACTTCGCCATGTCTCATTTTAATAAATAGTCTTCAATCCATTAGACGCAGTCGTTAATACGATTCTCGAAATTGACATTGTTGGAAACAATAAGGAATGAAGCTTTCAGAAAATTGTAGATATAACTTGAGTTTTTTTTTTTTTTCAGTTGATAATAAGAAATAGACTAGAGTTGCCAATTATTAAAGTATAAAATAGTCATAATTTTAGAATGTATTTGGGAATGCATAAAAGAAAAGTGAGTATTTCTGACAAGTGTAGTCCAAAAACAGATATGTATCTGTTAAAGTTCGAATAATCTGACATTTTTAAGTACTTTAGAAATCCTTGAGAAAATAAGTAATCATTTCAATAAATAATCAATTTTAAGTATAATAAACATGCTAATCAATACTTTTATACTTTAATCAGTACTATTTATACTTTAATCTCTCTTACTGTCTCTCTGTATAAGGCTAAATTTGTAAACACTTACTAAATATAGACAATGACAAATATAATCAATCTTTATAAGACGCCCACCCCACTATATTAGATAATTTTGATCTTCTTTGGATACAGTTATCTTAGAGAATATGGCTATCAGTGATGTTCAGTCTCATCATTTAACTATCTTAGATAACAAGATTATCCCTTTATCTCACTAAAACGTGTCGCATCATAATAATTCCATCATTAACTTTTCTATTCCTAGTTTTCTCAATAACACGATTGATTGGCTACTTTTATTGATTGGCTATTCTATTATTCCTGTTAAAAATAAGTAATGAATTATTTATGATTATTTTTATATCTACTTAACTCAGCAATTTTTATAATATCAGTAGCCCAAAAGAAAAGTGATTCACACGTACGAAACATTTGAGCGATCTTTTATGTATACCGAAACGTAAGTTTACATAAATATGCAAAAACGCATTTAAAAACTCAATCTGAATTTAAGAAATGTCTTACATTAACTGCCAATCTAGATTCTTACATTACTGCATATGCCAAAAACATTGTTAACAAAACACTTCCAAATCTCAAGAGTCACACTGTTCATTCATTGTTGTGATTTACCTATCTAAAGAATACTTTACGAGATTCCGGAATACTTTTACCTCAAAATATCTGAAGAAATACGATGTCTTTTGGAAAGCTCCCTCATCAGAATACCGTTATAATCGGGACAGAGATTACATATTTTGACATCCTAATCTTCGGCAGATGTCAGGCAAAGTGTTTCAGGGGAAAAGTTTTATGATGTCACTCACCGATCCCCAGGGCTTCCGTTGTCGAAAGGGTGAGTTTCAATAAAGATGAAAGAGGGTCTATCTTCTTATTTATTTTTTCAACTTCAACACCTTGATGTTTTTAGCTGTCTTTGGGGGCATAAGAATAAAAGGGAATGGAGAAAACGTATAACCTTTTTGATAGGAAAATGTAAATTTTTTGTCAGCATTAATGTTATGATGAATGAAATTCCAAAGAAGGAAACTAGCTTTATCTCAGTGAACAAACAGGGTTCTTGCTTCCTGTATAAAAGAAATTACTGCTTCTGAAGAATTCAAATGAACAGTCAAATTCAGACCCTTTTTAAGCTTTGTGAGTTTCGCACCCATTTGTGTTAGATTAGTCATTATTTCTCTTAAAATTAATCTGTATAAACGGTACTTCAGCCGTTAATTTCAGAAAAAAATTGTAAATCATTATTTACTTATAACATTAGTGACGAAAAACTTATCTAAGCGTTTATTAAATATGTCAAGTCTATGACCGTTACTTTTATTGTGAACCAGTGTCTAAGAGGATGGATGAAAGAAAAGTCTTATAGATAAAATCCTCTAAAAAGAGCTGAGAAAAATGCGAAAAGATCATGGCTATGTGAAGGGGATTTTTTATTCAAGCCAAATTCATCGTTTTTATAGTGGCACAGGACAAAAAGGAGATTACTCATAAATACGTTCCGTCCGAAATACAGGATGTGTTAGCGAAAATTGGAGTATCACATTCGTTGCCTAACAACGATATTTAATAGTCGGTCAGATACTACATCATCACATGAAGTAAAATAAAATTAAAATTTGAGTTTGATGAAAGAGGGTGAATCTGGAAAATGATTGAAAGAAATTACATTACTGTGGTCTTTATTCAGTAAAATGTAGGCATTGCAACAAAATGTCGGTCAATTTCATTTACAGAAAAATGCATTTCGTCGATGTTCAGAGGAGCGTATTAAAAGAAAAAATGAGCTTAAAACAGAGCCAAAACAATAGATTCTTTAACAAATTAGTAAAGATTAATTCTTCAGAAAATTAGTAAAGCTAATACATAACTCTTATTGTGTCTGATTTGTTCTAACGAGTATCACTTGAAAGAGTACAATAAACAAATTAATTTTATAAAAGAAATAATACATTTGATGCTCATTATAGAGACACTTTTAAGATCAACGATTCGATGAAAAAAGACGCTGCTATTGTTGGAATGAAAGATAGGCTCATGGAAGATTAGTAGGGACGTTTCTATGAGCCATTATAGTAGAATGAAGCGTTATACCGAAGGCCTTTCTAATGTTAATCAATTGTTTGATTATTATTATTATTATTACTATTATTATCATTATTATTATTATTATTATTATTGCAACTACAACTACTACTATATTCGAACCCTTGAATATAGTCAGAATGTAGTTCATATATGAAAATAGTATTATTAAAAATAAGTTAAATTTTTAAATAAAAATTAGCTTCATATTTTCATTTAAATCATTTAATTCAAAAGAGGTTTTCTACTAATAGCATATCTTCGTTCACTTGTCTTATTCTACAGAAGGAGTGAAAGTATTTATTCAAATGAAGATTCTGTTTTACTGCATTTAACTGTCTA